TTAAAATTCAGCGCTTGTGTTTTTATATGAATGTATAATTGAAAAGAACCGACCGTCTTCAGAAAAGCTTTGATGTTATTTTCATTTCGAGTTTTGATTACAGCCGTTACCGGGGAAACCGCTATATCTCCGATCAAACAGCGCCTCCTGCTGGCAGAGAATGAATTTGCATGTGCAAGTCTGTGGGAAACACTGGTGTCTGTCAACAAACATAAACAAAAAGCATGCTTCAGAACTGTTTTAAGAAGGTGCTTTGAGCCATGTATTATTACTATGAATTAGGCTACTACTACTACTACTACTAATAATAATTATTAATTAAATTATAATTATTATTACTACTACTACTACTATTACCACCTTGTGCCCTGCAATAATAATTTACTAAAACTCGGTTTTGACACTTAAATTAATTGTTTTGCCACTTTTGCACTTTATTTTTTTTTAAAAATGAATGTTTATTTGTTATGCATGTTATGTATGTTTATTAAAAACAAGTTTTGTAATAACCAATTGTTCCAGTCCGGACCTTTGACACTGATGAAAATTCAGATTTGGACCTTTGAATGTAGACTTTGAGCACCCCTGTACTAGACCGTCTCATTCTAGCATTTAATGCCAAGGAGGACTCTAGCCTACAAGCCTCTGAAGGACTGAATTAGGAAGGACATGTCCCCTTCTGGTCACTGTAGTAGTCCTCGATACATAGACCTATAACATTGCTGGATTTGTCTGATGTCAAAACATGGGTGGGCACACCTATCAAAGCATCACTGGACTTCTTCAGGTGACTGGGTAGAGTCAGTAGCCATGTTCATACAACCCCAATTCCAGATAAGTTGGGACGTTCTGTAAAATGCAATAAAATCAAGAATCTGCCATTTGTTAATTCTCTTTCACTTTTATTTAATTGATAAAAGTAGAAAGAAAAGATTTCCAAAGTTTTCACTGACCAACATAAATGTATTTTGTAAATATGAACAAATTTAGTTTTTGACGGCTGCAACACATTCCAAAAAAGTTGGGACAGAGGCAAAATAAAAGTGAAAAGGTTATAGAATATCCACGTTAAACTGTTTTGAAACCGTTCACAGTAAGCAGGTGAATTGGTAATAGGTCAAGGTATCATGTTTGGGTATAAAAGGAGCATCTCAGTCTTTGCAAGCAAAGCTGGATCATGGCTCATCACTTTGTGCCAAATTTCACGAGAGAAGTGTCAAATCAAAAATCACATTTGGCAATGCAAAATTGCAAAGAATTTAGGTCTTTCACCAAGTACCATACATAATATTGTGAAAAGATTCAGGGAATCCAGAGAAATCACAGTACATGTAGGGCAAGGCAGGAAACCTCAGTTGAATGTGCTTGCTTAGACCTCAGATGGCATTGCATAAGAAACTGTCATGCTGTGGTGTTAAATATAGCCACATGGGCTCAGGAGTACTTCAGAAAACCACTGTCATTTACCACAGTCTGCTGCTGCATCAAGAAATGCAACTTGATGAGCTCTAGCCCATCTCAGATAGTCAAAAAGACAGTGAAAATGTGTGCTGTGCTCAGATGAGTCCACATTTCAACTTGTTTCTGGGAAAAATGGATTTTGAGTTCT